AGGAAAATGTATGGTACCAAAATTCTCAGGAGACATAGGCCTTTAATATGAAACATGAATTTGACTTACAGCGACTTTGAAAATCTAGTATCAGGTACCTATAATAATGGTAATATTTTGTTGCATTTGATGTGAAGTCCATAATCGTGAAAATTCTGGGGGGGGTTCATTTTTTTTTTCTATTTGAATGAATAGTTTTCTACTTCTGCATATTACCTTGTAGTGGCATAGCCAAGATAACTGCTAAATTTCAAGTCTCAATCTCAACTTCTAGACCCCCGTTGCTGCGGAAACATGTTGCTCAACTTCGGAGGCCATTTTCTCCTTTTTGTGTTTCCTCACCTCGCACAATTAAAAGTTCTGTATTTTCGTCAAATATGGTCATTTTTACTTCATTCTTGTTATAAATTGTAGGGAAAAGGTTATCGTTTTTTAAAATAATGTTAATTCAGTTTTGAAATTTCCTTCATATGAATGGTATTGACCGGCAGGGACACATATACACATTAGGCTACAGGTTGAAGGTACACCATTTCTAATGATCCATACGGCCTTGGTGGCTCGGTTGATGTAATGTATATTTTATTATACCGCTTGTATTTTAGTGACTATTGCACGCCACCTTCATTGGTCATTTTTGACAGTATATATATAAATATATGAGGGCATGAGATGCAAAACCCGATAAGCGACATTTTGGAAAACAATCCATTTTTAAAATTCAAATACGTGCATATTGGTACCGGCTTCAGATGCAAAACGCGTTTACGGCCAAAAGCCAACAGATTTTTTTTCTTAAAAGCAATCAAAAAATATTTTTAACCCATGTTCCTGCGTATAACAGCATTTTAAAAAGTTGATTTTCTCAAAAGCGCTAAATAGATGTAACGGTTTTGCATCTCAGCCCCTCATATATATATATATATATATATATATATATATATCTATCTATCTATCTATCTATCTATCTATATATATATATATATCTATATATATATATATATATGTGTGTGTATGTGTGTGTGTGAGAGGCATCGTGGTGAGATCAGGCGCTCGTCAAAATAATGAAATCAAAGAAATTGGCTTTTTTTTGGCTGTTGGGCATTTTTTTTTCTAATTTTCTTTTCTATTTTTCTTTTTTTTCTTTTTGGCCTAACACCTTGTATATCTATTTAAAAACACATTTCTGTGTCGAAAAACATTGATTAAAGGTATAAAAAATGTAAATTTTCAGTTTCCAAGGACTCTCAGGCTATGGAAATTGTCAAGCTTTGGCGGCCATTTTCTCGCTAATTTTACCCCTGAAACCAGGCGACCTTGACCTCCTTCAATCGCAAATATATCGACTTCTATTCAAACTAGATGGATATTTTTTCACCAACAGCAAGGAAAATGAACAGGCTGTGAGACGATTTAAAGAACTCCATATGCCCAAAAATTGACGAGCGCCTGATTCTACCAAGTCGTGATACTCTCACACACACACACACACACACACACACACACACACACACACACACACACACACACACACACACACACACATACATACACATACACACACACACACACACACATATATATATATATATATATATTATAATAATAAGAAGAAGAAGAATAATGATAATAATAATCATAATAATAATCATAATAATAATAATAATATTATTATTATTATTATTATTATTATTATTATTATACTCTTTAACATTTTTAACGTCACACATTTTAAAAGCGTGTAGCTCAAAAAGAACACTTCCAGTTAATATGAAAATTTTACAAATATCACGTAAGCTCATTGTCGTTCGTGAACTGTACTCACTAGGGTGCACTGGTCTATCATTTTGTCTGACGATGGCATTCATGTGGTTCTGAATTTTGTCAAATACTTTGAAAATGTGTTTGTGACTTTGAAAACAAAAACCACACACGTAAAGTTGGACTCCTCCCAGGTTTTTGCCATATATGAAAATGGCTTCTCTTTTTCGGTTCACCATGCTTTGGCTAAATGAATCAGAAAGAAATCACATCATTGGAACGCTTCAGGAGGGCCCTCCGCTATAGTTAGTCGCGAGAAGGTTCAACGTGAACAGACGCACTGTGTATGCCACACGAGATCACATGGCAACGATAAGCTCCCAAAGGACAGACCAAAGCGAGTAGAAGTAGAACACAGAAAGACAAAACGGATGGTTGACTCATTGATTATAAACGCCACGCTTGAGAAATCAATTTCAACCGTCAAACAAAGGACCCAGGATGTGTCGAAAAGACTAAGAAATGACAGTCCGATCTTTGTCACGACTGTTCTTTTTCGTTTGAAACATAGGAACCTTTGTGCTAAAGGGCCTAGGTTGTCGCATAAAACTGCAGCCCCATCACATCCAGCACAGACTTCACTGGGCGCAGCGTTGCGTGTGATGGCCAAGGCTAAATCATTCCAGTTGTCGAGCCCAAAGTACTTTTCTTTCATAATCAAGCCCATGATCAAGTATTCATGCATGATAATGCATCTACTCATAAGGCTGCTGTGACTAATCAATTTCTCAAAACTAGCAACATTTCTCCCTTGCACCCATGACCAGCGCATTTAACCAAATGTTAATCCAATTAAGGATTTGCGGGACATTTTAGTTCGCGACATTCGTGCAACACCACGCCAGCACCGTACCCCTTGCTCAGTCAGAACAGATTACTCCCTAATTGAAGAGTGGAATATTACCCATCAATAGACAATACCTCGATTCATCCCGTCCATACGTCGGCGATGTGAAGATGTGAGAACGCCAGATGTCATCACACGTTGTTGAAAGCTGTTAATTTTCATTCAGACCCATGACAACTATAAGTTCAAAACTAAAGATAAAAAGCATTCTTAACTTTGCATCCCATACGTTTCCCTTACTGTAAAATAAATGCAGTGTCTTATCTGAAATTTTCAGACAGATTTGTTAGGTATTTATCAAGATATTGCCTTTAATATGAGGTGCGAAGTTAAAATATAATAATATTAATAATAAAGCAAGCTTTATGTCCTTTACACTAGACTTATATTATTACCACAGCAGACCATAAACCTTTCTGAATCATTTTCAGCTTCCCATGAAGCATACAATACAAGCAGCTGATTAAACGCTCAAACACTAACTAACTGACAAGATCTCTCTCTCTCTCTCTCTCTCTCTCTCTCTCTC